TACTTATATAGCCTTTTATATACTGTACTGTTATGACAGTGTTGTGTACTCATCTGTAAAGAAATAGATTAATAAAAGAGAAGGAAAAGAAGAAGACATAGATTCAGCAGAATCTGAAATGTCTAAGTAGTTTATAAAGTTGTATAACAACATGTAAACTAACTCTGTCCTGTTTGTACAATCTTCCAAATCTTCTAAATGCTAATAAAATATGTATCATAAATTGAAGAAAATTTATTCCTAAAACATTATGGCCATACATCTTTGTTTTTCAAATGATATCATGACTTACACAGAGAGAATCATTATGAATTATTTTGTGATTTAAACCTTTGTCTATACTCTACCTGCATGTGGAAAATGAACAAGTTTAAACATTTTCCTCAAACTATTATTTACCAAGTATTATTCTCTCTGGGAAAGGAGGGTAAGACTTCTAACAGATATAGGGCTGAGGGAAATGGAATAAGATAAGTAAGTGGGGTATATTTATTAAGGAGCACAAAATAATGTAGTTTTCTTGGACTGTAGTATATGCTTACATCTAGGACAAAATGAAACAAAGAAAAGTGCAGGCTTTGCATAATACATAAAGGAATTCTTGTTGAGATTTGATCATTTTAAGTATTAATGTGAACTCACTGAAGAAACTAAAAGTAGAGTTTTGATGTCAATACAATTAGTAATCTATTTAAGTTTAAATTATGCACATTTGTATTGCTATTGTTTTTGCTTAAATCATGGGTTAAGTATAGCTGGAAATGTTTTCTTACATATGAGATTTCTGAAATATTTTAGTGTTCATAAAGTATGTATTTGAAGCTTAACCTCGCAAGTATCAGCTCTAAAGCAAGGTTTAATATGAATATTTTCCAAAAAAATTAAATTAAATGTAAATAGCTAATAAATACTGAAAACAAAATAACATACAGTATATTATGTCTCCTTTCAAGATTTCGTCAGAAGCAAAGGCTTTACTGCATCACAGCCACATCTTTTAAATATATATACAAAGTTTCTAAAGGGAAGTTCTACAAACATCGGCTATCATTTTGGTGAGGCATCAGTAAGTAATGATATGGTGTCAATACTTTAGTTCATATTTCCTTTATGACTAAAAACACAGATATCAATTCAATGCAGAGGCATTGCCAATGACTATCATAAAACTATCATTTAGTGATATGTGAATGATCTTGTTAACGTCACATTTCATTCTGTAAAATGTTAAGAAAAAATGAAAGGGTTTTCATTGTGGGTGGAGAAAATAAAGTAACAAAATAAAATTTCAAAGGTGTTAATATAGTTAAGAAATTAATAGAGATAAGCAAAATAGTTGTATGAAATCCACCCTGGAGATGCTTAAGGACAAGATAAATGCTCATCTGTCTACAACAGTTTCAGTGTGGTTTGCCTGAAGGAAAGGGAATAAAATCTGCTAATTTGCAACATTTCCACAGCATCAATTTCATATTGTCAGAATGCTGCCTTGAGCACATTTAGCCAATCTACAAGACTAAAGCAAGTGCTTCCAATGGAAATCTTGCAGTAACCAGAATTTGCTCTGAACAAGGACCGATGGTGGAAATCCAGTGGACCTGTTAGAATGCCTCAGCCTGGGCTTCTGGACAGTGCTCCACCAAATGTGGTCCCTGCAGCCAAAGCACATATTTCTTCCATCCAGTCTTGCCACAGCAAAAGCATGTATTCCTTTATTTTTGTTTTGTTAGTGCATGTTTGCAGTGTATAACGATTGCATTCCCCATGGGAACTTGATGCATGTGTATAACATGTCTTAATCTTATATTTCATCCCCTTCTCCCCTCCTCCCTCCACCTCTTCGTCCCTTTCCCTTTTGAGAAAGGTCTATCTCCCTATTTCTTCTTAATATCTTGTGTCTTTGTCCAATCCCAGTGCAGAGACAGCCCAAACTACAATGCATATACGGGCACAATAATTAGGACAAAACCCTGCTCTTTCTTCTCACCATGAAAATAAATAACAGTAACATTAATGGCATTCTGTTGCATCACTAATTGGTAATTTATGGTCACCAGTTTATTTAATAACAATGTAAATTAGACTTTAACTCAAAGTCTCAATATATTTTATCAGATAGCTTCAAGTTTGAATAAATCTAAACTTCATAACATGCTCCATATAATGTGAACTTTTTAAAAACAAAGTATTTTGAACTAATTTCTAAATTGTAAAGCTATATAGCTCTGACCCTACTAATTAGCTATATCTATTAATACATTTTGATATTTCAATGTTGTTATCAGTGTCTTTTATAATGGAAAATAATTAGAAAAGGGGAAAATTCCTTTTTTCACTTTCATAGCTCAGCATCCACACAAGCCCTTAAGCTTCTTTTACTTCCGTGGTAACATAAAGCTCCAAAGTTGAAATTATGTGGATTCCATTGCACTCAGCTTTCTCATATTTAAATCCCTCTGCTTCTCACCCCTATTGTTATTTTGGATTTATACTGCTGTGCTTTTTAAAGAATGGCCCCACACACACACTCCCACACACACACTCCGCTGCACTTTGTTTTCAATATTCAAGTCAATCAATACTCTGAAATCAGGCCTGGGCCAATCTCCTTTAAAAATTCTAACTTTCTCAACTCACCATTAACTATACCTACACACCAATATGCAATAAAATCCAATCTCCTTAGATTTCTTTGCATTTTCTTTTATGAATCTTTCCCTGAGCATTTTCTGATAACTTCAAACAGTATGTTTATCTTTTTCTTTCTTCAACGTCTATAGTATTTAAAGTCTTTTTTTATAAATCTAGGTCTTGTGTATGTTCATACTTAATAGTAGCTTTTCCTTTTTCTATTTTGCAGCTCAGTTCTAACTGATTTATAACAGAACAATCATATCAATTCCTTATGTTACTATTTATTTTATGCTGTACACTCCTGTCTCCTTACTACACATTTTTTAGAGGTAACATGTAGTGTTTGACTGTGAATATTCACAGGATGCAATGCTACAGTATAGTTTCATATCCGTTTACTGTTTTATTTTTACATCTTATTTCCTAAATAACAACAACCCAAATATATATTCATTTTATAAAATCAAGAATATGGCTAAGTGAGTTCACTGATTTATTCATGTCCACAAATCCAAAAACAGCACAACTCTCTAAACTTTAATCTTAAACTTATCACACACATCACAACAGCTTTTAAATTTAGGGAAAGCTAAGACATGCAAGGATAAAATGGTTTAAAATGTTCATTCCTCATAGCAAATGGCTAACATTTCTTTTTTGCTTTAATCTCTAAACTTATTTTGAAGGTTAATACAGAAACATATGGAAGAAATTCACCATAAATGGTCCTACTCCCAAATGCATTCTTAAATATGGGAGATGTTTCTCTTGTTGGCTTGGATTCTTCAAATATCTCAATTAAGAAGATTATAAGCCACCTGTTTTAAGAATTTAGAGGTAAGCTGCATGCAGTGGCCCATATCATTAATCCTAGCCACTGGGGATGTTGAGGCAGGAGGATTACAAGTCTGAGGTAAGCTTGGGCAACTTAGTGAGCAACTGTCTCAAAATAAAAAAATAAAAAGGATTAAAGATATAGCTGAGTGGCTTGATCCCCAGGAACTCCCAGAAAGACACAAACACACACAAAGAGAATAGAGAGTGTATATGATTATAAGATTGCAGATAACATCCCCAAAGTGTGGTCAGCTACAGTTACTACTATACATTTACAGTGACATAAAGGCAAGGGAGTAGCACCTCACACAGGGACCCCTCTGCTATCTGAAGTAGGCATAATACAGAGACAACTTTGGTCACCTTACATCACTGCCTCAACTGAGTTATCCAAGCCTAGCTAGCAAAGATAAAAAGCAAATGAAATCCTCTTAACTTGAGTGTCCATAGAAACAGTCACGATTTTGATGGTTCTATACATTTATACCAACAAATTTGTACTTTTATGTCTTTTCCTGTGTATTTAGATAGTTCAATGTAATAAAAAATCCATTTATATTTAGAAGAAGATGCAGAGGCCAGATTGCTGTCTTCTTTGACAAGGGAAAATGCCTGTCTCACTTATGCTGCTGGAAAAGGAGCACTGGATCCCACCACAGACAATTCTGAATGTCAGATAATTCTTGAAAAAGTGCTTGCTGTGTTTACTACTAGATAAGAGATACTGGATTGCTGATAGTTAATCTTAACTCACTGAGGCAGTCTTTGCTCCCTACATTCTAAAACCCATCATTTTTCAAGGCTAATACAGTGTTTTAAAATCTATAAAAGACACTCTGACAAAAATAAGATAGTCATTGAGATCTTAAATCTGAAATTTACCTTAAGAACTTTAGAAACATTTCTCAAGGACAACCCAGATTAAAGATTCAGCAAGGAAAAATATAGAAATATATTTTCTTTTTTAATTTTAAAGGATTATATATGTATAATATATCATGAAAATATGAAGAAAACACGTTTGAGAAAATATTCACACAAAGGCATAATTTTCTCATTCTCACAATTATGGCATTTAATGAAAATGGTGATTTAAAACCTCAAAAAACTTTATGTCTGGGATACAAATACCTCCAATAAGGAAATATTATCTACTCTTCTAAGAGAAAAATAGTTCATATACTGCACTTCAAGTAAACACTGATAGAGACTTAAGAAGGAGTGAATGAAATAGGCCAACAGAAAAAAGAAAAAAAAAACAAAAACGAGATTGTAAATTCCTCCATCAAAATCATTTCAGTAGATTTCAAAAGATTAGTAACAAAGTCTGAAGAATGAATTTGATGATGACTTATTTCTAGATCTCTTCTAAATGAGAATCCCTTCAAATAACAATTTAAAATGTACTATTACAAGGTCTCATAACAAGGATAAAGATTAGCAAGTTCCATCACTTTTTGATGACAATTTCTTCAATACAAAAATAACACAGAAAACTTAGTAATATGTACATATATGCATATACTTACAAATTTTTAATGTCAACTGCCCCACGGAAAGCCTTCCTTGGAATAGCCTGAATTTGATTTTCACTGAGATCACTAAAAACAGTCAAAAAGAAAAAAGATAAAGTTATAAAATATTATTTTAGATTTTAACTACAATGTTTGAGAAGTGTAAGAAACCAGAAAAAGAAAAGAAACCTGAAAAGATCATCATTCAATGTATAACACTGGATGCCATTTCCCACGCAGATACATTATATCGCTAATACAAAGACTGAACACAATCATTACTTGAAGTATGTTTCTAGATATTTAATGTTTGAAGAACTTATGAAATATGATTCTTCAGAGGTACCCCAATCCTGTGAAGTAAAATATGATTATTGTTTATTTCAAACAAATAGTAAATTTTTCGTAAGTCACTTTCAGGAGGTTTGGAAGGTTTAGTACTTGAGATTTCTCTAACACCACTGACATAACTTCTGAAGTATATAAGAACACAGCTTAATTCAGCTTCTTGGAGAAGGGTGGGTACAAACTGATAAAACCTGGGCAATGTGATTAAGTTTTCATAGCACTTAAAGTAATCTTGATAATGGACCGTGGCAGCACCAGTCCAACAATAAAATGAAGTTTCTGCCTGAAATAATAATAGTAGGTTAATTTAAAGCCCTCTTTAAAGAATTCTATTATAACCATAAACACAGAGTGTCTATATTTGCATTTTAATTTAATTGAGAAATACATTTTAATCAGAGAGAAAAGCACTCTCTGAGTTGGAATAGAAAGTTTGCAAAAAAAAAAATCACTGATCTCGTGAAAAGGATCATTTTTTTTCAAAGAGTTCAGAGGCAATTCTATGAGCTGATGTAGTATTATTAGCCTTAATGAGCAAGGTACAATTACATTTGCACAAAATGCCTCTAAAAATAGAAAATTTTCTTCTAGTTTTAAATAACCTGGTGAGACAGCAAAAACTGAAATATCAAGTCACGAAACTAACAATGCTGGTTTTAAAATTATCTTTAAACTCTACAACAAATGACTATTGCAAAGAAAGATGAAGTTACTGACCACGGACACATTGCAGATGGAAATACAGCCATTTTCGAGAATGTGGATGCACACAGGAGATGGCCATCCACGAGCCCCTTAGCTGCTCATGGCCAGACTTCTTAAGAGTGTGCTCTTGTGGCCACACAAGAGAAAGAGAGATATTGGCAGTGCAGAGATTTAATGCATGGTCTTGACCTCATTAGTATCGAGTCTTAAACAACTGAGATTTGCATTTGTATCTCAATATCCGCAAGTTCAAACAAAAATATGTTTGCTAAGCAAGTTGTAAAGAAATGCATGTTAGCCTGCTTAAAGAGAAAAGGTTATCAGCCCCCAAAAGAACCCACCTATTTTATTTCAAGGAGTAAATTTACAATATGTGCTTATGTTGGAGTTAAGGCAGACACCCATTTCCTAAGCGACGTAGCTCATTACTGCTTTCAATAGTTTCAGTGCATCCCTAAGAGTAATAAAGCCTGTTTCCTTAAAAATTGCTTATTTCTCCAGCTTGCCATTGATTTAGAATGACTTCCTTCCTTTTTAAAAATTACACTGAGTGAAGAATATTTAACAATATATATTTAAAAGTCTTGATGGTCTTCAGTGCAAGAGCAGAGAGAAAGGGAAGAAGTTAGAGAAGGAAAAAAATCAGAAAGTAATAAGAAATGAAGAGGAAGAAAAGATTAAATTCAAGCAAATACGATCTACAATACCCTTGAAAACAGTTGCATTTATAATACTCAGGACCTGCCAATTGCATTCTTCCAACTTCTCCTTGGACAAAAATGCTTCAGAGACCCTGAAGGTGCATAAAAGGGGCAAAGATGTTTGTTTGCTTCTGCTCTGGGCTACTCCCAGCCTCTGCTGCCTTCAGATCTCTACAGCTGGAAGCACCTCATTCCCTAACTGTAGTCTCAGCTCTGCTGCGTTTCCAGGCACAGTTTTGTCCTGGAGTCAGTCTCAACTGTGGTCTAGTGAGGAGGGAGGAAGGTCGGGGAAACGACTTCTGGTGGTTCAGAGACATCCTTGAGGAACACTGAGACAGACAGAACACCATTCCTCCTGAATGTAATTCGAATCCTCCTGGTTACCTTTGGCAGAATCACAGGGCACAGAACAACTTCCTTCAGTGTCTACCAAGATTTTACTTTTACAAGTGTGTGAAAGCATGTTGGCTTCACAGGTCTTTATTCCCTTCAGGTTAAGGGTTTATGTGTTGCTGCTCCTGGGAAAAGACAGCTTCCAAGACCATGATACTGGGGTCTCAGCTGGAGTGTGGACACCACTGTAACAAGCAATTTTAATTATAAATCGCAAGCCTCTGCGGTCAAGTGGGCCATTTCACTGAGGGAGAAGAAACCTAATGTATTTTCCGTATCTATATGAGAGTTGATTTTTTCAGACTATACCATTGCATCTAACCTTTATGTCCTTTAATCCTCACAAACATTTTGCAAAATAGGCATTGTTATGCTGGTTTTACAGAAAAGGAACCTAAACATTAGAAATGTCAGTAGGAGTGGCCCAGGCAAGAGGGGTCAAAGTCAAGAGTAGTGGTCATGGTTGTGGAGGTTGTAAGAAGGATGGCAAGGACAAGAAAAAGAAATATGAGCCTCTTGTACCAACTGGAGTGGGTAAAAGGAAGAAGGAAACAAAGGGAGCAGATGCTGCCAGCAAACTGCCACTGGTGACATCTCACACTCAGTGCCACTTACAACTACTCAAGTTAGAGAGAATCAAAGACTATCTTCTCATGGAGAAAGAATTTATTAGAAATCAGGAACAAGTGAAACCATTAGAAGAACAAAAAGAAGAGGAAAGGTCAAAGGCGGATGATCTGAGGGGAACCCCAGTGTCGGTAGGAACCATGGAAGAGATCACTGATGACAACCAGGCCATTGTGTCTACGTCGGTGGGCTCAGAACACTATGTCAGCATCTTTTCATTTGTAGACAAGGATCTGTTGGAACTAGGCTGCTCAGTCCTGCTCAGCTGGACTGCTTTCGGGCACTGATGGATGACACAGATCCTCTGGTCACAGTGATGAAGGTGGAAAAGGCTCCCCAGGAAGCCTATGCTGACATTGGTGGACTGAACAACCAAATCCAGGAAATTAAGGAATCTGTGGAGCTTCCATCACCCATCCTGAATACTATGGAGAGAGGGGTATGAAGCCCCCTAAGGGAGTCATTCTGTATGGTCCACCTGGCACAGGTAAAATCTTGTTAGACAAAGCAGTAGCAAACCAAACCTCGACACTTTCGTGAGAGTGGTTGGCTCTGAACCCATTCAGAAGTACCGGGGCGATGGGCCCAAACGTACAATTATTTTGAGTTGCTGAAGAACGTGCACCACCCATCGTGTTTACTGATGAAATTGATGCCCCTGGGACTAAAAGATATGATTCAAACTCTGGAGGTGAGAGAGAAATTCAGCAAACAATGTTGGAACTGTGAAACCAGTTGGACGGATTTGATTCACGGGAGACATGAAAGTTAATCATGGCCACAAACTGAAAAGAAACTTAGGATCCAGCACTGATCAGAGCAGGGCAAATCAACAGGAGCTGGAGTTCCCCCTGCCTGATGAAAAGACTAAGAAGTGCATCTTTCAGATTCACACAAACTGAATGACGCTGGCCAATGCTGTGACCCTGGATGGCCTGATCAGGGCAAACGATGACTTCTCTGGTGTTGACGTCAGGGCTATCTGTACAGAAGCTGGGCTGATGGCTTTAAGACAATGCAGAATGCAAGTAACAAATGAAGACTTCAAGAAATCTAAAGAAAATGTTCTTAAAAGAAACAGTAAGTCACACATGTGTAAATACTGAGTAGTTTCTCTGGTGTGAAAAACTACAATAGTACACGAGATCCTAATGAGATAATTGACAATGTGAAATAGGAAGAAAAGGGCTAAAGGTGTAGGGAAAGTGGGAAGGGTAGGGGAAAGGTAATAAGGGAAAGAAAAAAATAGGAGAAAATGAAAAAATGGAAATAAAGTGTTTGTAAATGGGGAGGAGAGGAGGGGGTGAAGAGAGGGCAGGGACAAAGGGAAAAAATGAGAACCAAGACCTGTCATGTAAAGGTACAAGATCCCAATGATGAGCGTAACTGTACTGTATACCTAAAATGTACCAATAAATTTAATAAGGGGAAAAAAAAGAAACAGGAAGGTACCACCCCCGAGGGCTATATCTCTAGTGAACCATAGTTGCCTTCAGGCAAGTGGTTGGGACTTTTCTCAACCCCTGAGAAGGGTGAGGTTTGGAGAGGTGCCCTGAGGGAGACCACGTTCCAGTTTATTTTTATTAGCAAAACATGTCTTGTCCATTGGATGGTCTTTATCTGGTCACTGTGCTGTTTGCGCTCTGTTTCCCAAGAAAGAAAGAAGAAAGAAAGAAAGAACCATAGTTGCCTTCAGGCAAGTGGTTGGGACTTTTCTCAACCCCTGAGAAGGGTGAGGTTTGGAGAGGTGCCCTGAGGGACACCACGTTCCAGTTTATTTTTATTAGCAAAACATGTCTTGTCCATTGGATGGTCTTTATCTGGTCACTGTGCTGTTTGCACTCTGTTTCCCAAGAAAGAAAGAAGAAAGAAAGAAAGAGAGAGAGAGAGAGAGAGAGAGAGAGAGAGAGAGAGAGAGAGAAAGATAGATCAGCATTAGTGCTACAGAAACAGGCAAATTATTAAATGCATGGAAAATGCACACAGATATTGATCAAGATTTAGGAATTTCTAAAAAGTATAACCAGTATTAGTTAATAAATATTTTCTTCTTGTTATCAGAAATTAAGGAATGTTTTACTTAACTTATCCAAGTCTGACTTATGTATGTCTCTTGCAGAAATGATTCAAATATTCAAATATTTGAATACTGATTCCCATTTCCTACATAATAATCAAGTAGACAATAAAATTCCAATCTCTATACATTTATTTGATATTTAATACACGCAAGGCTTCAACCTGTATTTCAAAGGTTACAGTGGTAAGGTAGTCTTTAGGAATTTCAAAATCCAGTAAAGAAGATGAAGCAAG